AGGACAGGAACCTTCCAGAGAAATTGCAGTTAGCCAGAGCTAGTAGTGTTGACAAGTTTATACAGTTTTAAATGCAGAATTGACTACAGCCTTTTAATTTAAATTTTTCCTGTATTTCAGTCTCAAGAGATTCAAGCAGAGCCTGATGATCTGTAGTAGGAATGTTTATTCCCTCTATCTTGTTTCTCTTGCTTCTTTGTGCTATTAGCCAAATCCTGCTAACTGAGGAGTGTGGCTTTCTGTATAGAGACATTGGTGAGAGGAGAGGGGTAATGCTGTGTTCTTCCACAGGGCCTGGATTTAACCAGGCTAAGTGTGGTACCCAAGACAGGGCTGAAAATAACCGTAAGGTCCCTGTGTAGTCAATTGAGAGGTAGGCATCTCCTAACTCCTTCCGCTGGTGATGAGAGACAAGGACAGCAATGTTCCTAACCTAAATGCAGATGTGAGTCCTATTACTTCATGCCTAACATCACAAGTTTGGGGAGGAATCCTCAAACACAATTAAAATTGCAACATCTCCAGTGACAGGCTTGTGATTACCTCTAATGCCAGGTCAGATGTGTTAGACAAGAAAGCATTAGGGGGAGGAAGTGCTTTTTTTTCCTCTCTAAGCCAGTTGCTGTCTCTGTATCTAGTGTTTGTTCTGGTTTGGTTTGGGGTTGGGTTTTTTTTGGTGGTGGTTGTTTTTTTTCTTTTGTTCTTGTTTTGCTTTTTGAGAGGCAGGCTGGATTCATCAGAAAACTGTTTTTGTGAAGGAGAAAGGAAATTTAGGTCTGGGAAAGAGACATAAAATTTATTAGAAATCTAGTACTTTTGCAATTTTAGACTTCAGGCAAAGCCTTGGTGAGTGCTGATTCCAGCTGCTACTGCAGCTGAATACTCTGCAGATACAAGTTTCCTGGTGCAGCTCTGACCCTTACGCATGGACCTGTGTCCCCTGTTGGGAGGGTCTAGAATTACAAGGATTTTCAACTAATAGCTTGTTCTGGTTTCAGCTGGGATAGAGTTAATTTTCTTTCTAGTAGCTGGTATAGTGCTATGTTTTGGGTTCTGTATGAGAAGAATGTTGATAACACACTGATGTTTTCAGTTGTTGCTAAGTAATATTTAGTCTAAAGTCAAGGATTTTTCAGCTTCTTATGCCCAGCCAGCAGGAAGGCTGGAGGGGCACAAGAAGTTGGGAGGGGACACAGGCAGGGCAGCTGACCAAAACTGGTCAATGGGGTATTCCATACCATGTGATGCCATGCCCAGTATATAAACTGGGGTGAGCTGGCCTAGGGAGGATTGCTGCTCGGGAACTAACTGGGCATCTGTCAGTGAGTGGTGAGCAATTGCATTGTGCATCACTTGTATATTCCAATCCTTTTATTATTACTATTGTAATTTTATTAGTGTTATTATTATTAGTTTCTTCTTTTCTGTTCTATTAAACCGTTCTTACCTCAACTCACGAGTTTTACTTTTTTTTTCTGATTCTCTCCCCCATCCCACTAGGTGGGGGGGAAGTGAGTGAGCAGCTGTTTGGTACTTAGTTGCTGGCTGGGGTTAAACCACGACATAGCTCTATATTGCTTTACGAGTTCTGCTGCAAAGTAAATACTTTATTTCACCTACCTATGGGGTTTTTTGGAGATACGTAGGTATTCACAGCATGTAAAAATGCAGTGAATATGTTAGACAAGCTTGCTGAAATAAAAGGAAGGAGTAAAAAGGAGAAATCATGGGGAAAGACTTATTAAACACCTTCACTTGAGAGAAATGAAGCAAAATTGCTAGGTGAGTGGTGTACTTTGTAGAAATGTATTCTGAGGGAGGTCTGTTTCAAATCCATAAGTCTAATCTTTAAAATACTAGCTTGCGGTAAGAAATCAGCTGAATGACTCATCTTCCAAAGGAATAAACCTCTTCAAGAGCAGCTGTGTGCTAATGCTGGTAACATGGTAGCATTTGAGGGGAAAATTCCTAGAGAATGGTTTCAAGTGTCTTTGGATTCAATTTAGCACTCAAAAAAACTGAAGATGTTCACAATTAGGATTAAGAACGTAAAGCAGTCATAGTTCAACCTAAGATCTGCTAAACCCGGAGGCCAAAAAGAAGGTGTAGTTCATGCTCTGTTATGAAGTGGGCTTTATACATGCAAGATGTTAGACTTGGTTGCTGTTTTACAACAAAACTGTGATGCCTCACATCCTGTATTCCAGTCAGATTTTTTCAGTCAAATGTTGATTATTCCCACCCTGTTAATCAAGGATTGGGGAATGAGTCACACAAAGCAAACTACGTGCTAGAAGTAAAAGGATCATTTGGTTCAAAAGGCTTGATGCAAAATTAGAGATTTCAGGTTGGGAGGGACCTCAGGATATCTCTGGTCTCACCTGCTGCTTAGCACAGGTACAATACAGTGTTCACATCATGTTGATCAGGGCCTTTTTCCAGTCAGGTCTGGACAAGCTCAGGAATTGGGTTCATGGGGTTCAACAAGGCCAAGTGCGAGGTGCTGCACCTGGGTTGGGACAACTCCTGGTGTCAATATAGGCTTGGGGACGTGAAGGGGTTGAGAGCAGCCCTGCCGAGAAGGACTTGGGGGTACTGGTGGATGAAAAGCTGGATGTGAGCTGCCAATGTGTGCTTGCAGCCCAGAGAGCCAACTGTATCCTGGCCCGCACCAAAAGAAGCGTGGCCAACAGGTTGAGGGAAGTAATTCTGCCCCTCTGCTCTGGTGAGACCCCACCTGCAGTACTGCGTCCAGCTCTGGGGTCCTCAGCACATGGACCTGCTGGAGCAGGTCCAGAGGAGGGACACAGAAATGGTCAGAGGGCTGGAACACCTCTCCTGTGAGGAAAGGCTGAGAGAGTTGGGGTTGTTCAGCCTGGAGAAGAGAAGGCTCCAGGAAGACCTTATTGCAGCCTTTCAGTACTTAAAGGGGGCTCGGAAGGAAGATGGGGACAGACTTTTTAGTAGGGCCTGTAGCGATAGGACAAGGGGTAATGGTTTTAAACTAAAAGAGAGTAGATTCAAACTAGATATAAGGAAGAAATTTAAATTTATTACAATGAGGGTGGTGAAACTCTGGAATGGGTTGCCCAGAGAGACTATAGATGCCCTGTCCCTGGAAATGTTCAAGGTCAGGTTGGACGGGGCTCTGAGCAACCTGATCTAGTTGAAGGTGTCCCTGCTCGTTGCAAGGGGATTGGACTAGATGACCCTTTAAAGTCCCTTCCAACCCAGACCGTTCTATGTTTCTGTGGAGGCTACGCAGCCTTGCTGGGCCCCTCTTCCAGTGCTTGACTGTCCTCTTGGGGGAGAAAAATGCTTTTCCTGTATCCAGTCAGATCTCTCTGTTTCAGCTGATGACCACTGCCCCTCATCTGCCTGCTGTGCACCTTAGCAGGGAGGTTTGGGCTGCTTGATAACCTGCCTGTACATTGTAAGGCTGCTGTTGTGTCCCCGCAGGGTTTTCTGTTCTCTGGGCTGAACAAGCACATTTCTCTCAGCTGCTTCTTACAGGTTGTGTGTTTCAGCCCCCAACCATCTTGGTGATCCCCTCTGGACTTGCTCAAACATGTTGACAGCCTTTTTGTGGTGGGAGTCCAAAACTGGAGGGGGAATCCAAATGTGGTCTAGCGAGTGCTGAGTAAAGGCGATTAACAGTGTCCCTCTGTTTCCTGACTGTGCCCCTGTGAATGGCACCCAGGATGCTGTGGACCTCCCTTGCTGCCAGGGCACGCTCCTGGCTCTTGATGTGCAGTTTGCTCTTCACTGGGGCTCCTGGCATAGCAGAGCTGCTCCCCAGCCAGTCCTTAGAGGACTGTCCACTGACTTTGCCAGCAGATGCTTGATAAACTCCCAGGCATCTCAGTGATACTGCTGGCTGGTGCTTAGGCAGCAGAAACCCACCTGAAACTAGACAGCAGTGTAAATGTATTTGGGTGAAAAGGAGTGGGTCAGAGCTTAGCCTAGAACACAGGCCCTGTGAAGTGCTGCAGGTGGCTTTGTGTACTAAAGCAGTGGCAAACCTGGAGTACTGAGCATAGCCAGCTACTTGGAATTAATTTCTTCAGCACATAATTTGTGAAATTTCAGAAATCATTTGAGTTCATTAAGGCCCAGTGTCACAGTAAGCACCAAAAAGTGAGATCAAGTGAACTGCACTTGGGAATTTTAGTTTTTAAGGGATGAACTTGCTCACATAAACATTTAAGCCAGTTCTGTTATCTTGCCAAAACATACCTGGAGATCAGCCATCAGCCAAAAAGAAACCACCTGTAGAAGCTATAAATGAGTGCAAAGACCTCAGGCTAACAGTGCTTGTGATGTTTTTTGCTCTAGTGTAAGACCAGAAACATCCAGCTCAGATTCCTCAGGGTTATTACCAGGTGTACAATTCTGATTAAATATGTGTTTGGGGGATTCTCCAAACATGACTTTTAATATGGTCCAATTTTCAAGCTAGTCTTTCATAAAGCAGTTGCTGAGGTTTATGAGTGTCTATCTTGCAGTGCTTAGGGGAGATCAGAGCCAGCAAATAATCACAAGCCTGTATCAGAGGGAAATGTAAGCTGTTTTTAAATATTTGTGTCTTTACTTAGAGGCAGTGGGAAATGTGATGAGAGTTTTAAATGAAGGCTTGCTGAAGTAAGGCCCTGGGGTGTGTCCTGCCTGGCTTGGCAGAGCTACACTCCAAATCTGTGAGAGGTAGTGGTTTCCCTGTCAGAGTAGACAGGAGCATTTATGCTATTCAACATCGTGCAACAGAGGAGTGTGAATTTAGTGATGGGACTTATGCATTTTATTATTATTAAGGAGATTGCAATGGGTGTTTCAGATCCCAAAGAAGAGAAGGAAGAGGAGGAAGTGTCCAGTGTCCTCAGCCATGGCTCTCCTGTCAGCACAGCCAGGCCTAGCAGAAGCTGGCGCAGCAGCAGGTCAGCCACTGCGGCCCGCCAGCGTGACACTGAGAATTCGCGTGCCTCCAGATCCAAGACTGGTTCCCTGCAGCTCGTCTGCAAGTCAGAGCCAAACACAGACCAGCTTGAATATGGTACGTGGGAAGCCCTGGCATGAAAGTGCCTGGAGATAGTCAGGTCTTGGGAACCTCTGAAGGGAGCTGGATGTGGGCGTAACTTTGTGAGCTGTATGCAGACTGGCTGGTACAGGCGTGGTGCTTCTTGGTCATGAGTACCTTCTGCCACCAGCACTCCTGGCACTGAATGTCGACGGAAGTATCTTGAGACAGATGAGCTCACTGCAGCGAACACAGATTGAAACCTAATGGTGACTTTTCCTTTCAGAGGTCACAGAAGAGCATCAGTCTCCAGCTGGAATCAGGTAGGAAACTCTGTATTTTGTGGTATTTCTTCCTATATAGTGTCTCAAGAAGGGAAAATAAGAGTCTGGGTTTTTTCAAAAGAAGTGCTTCTGTGAAAGGATCTATGGGACGGATAGTAGCTCTGTTTTCATTCAGTCCTGGACCTTTGCGTTTTCAGTCTGGATTGCAGATGGACTGCAGGTGTCAGGAGATATTGTGGAGAAATGGACAGTAAGATTTGATCTGGGCATTTCACCTGGTAGCTTTATTCCTTCAGGAGCAGATGCTGTGGTTAGGCGGGTTCACAAGAGGAAACTGCTCTGCCTAGCCTATCTGTTTTGGCTGTCATCATGCTCCTTAGTCAGTGCAAGCTGTTAGCTTTCCCCAGTCATGCTGGATGAGAAAGTGCTGTGTAATGGTGTCTTTCCCATCCTAGGGGATGATGCATGAATATTCTTGCAGTAGTGCTTGAACTGTTGCTGCTGAAGTCCTCTGTTCTCCTTTTCTCCCAGCAGTGATGATGAGGAGATGCTCATCAGTGAGGAAGAAGTTCCCTTCAAAGATGATCCAAGAGATGAAACCTACAAGCCCCATCTAGAGAAGTATATTGGATTACTTACTGTGGTTTCAGACCCCCCAAAATTGTGACATCTTAGTTGAATGAGCTTAATATGACCCAAAGAACCTGTGCTAGTTGCTAAGGTGGAATGACTCCCATTGGACACAGTGTTTTCTAAATATTGCCTACAGCTATTGGGACTGTTCTTCTCTGACAGACTAAAGCCTTTAGAGCCCTCCTGGCTGCCAGGTTCTTCCTTAATCTTTGTTCATACTTCTGCTTAGAAGTGGAACTTGATAAATAGACCTGAACTTCAATCCAGTTTTTGCTTAAACCTTTGTAAAAAGCAGACAATGGGAAGAGTATCGGAGTAATATGTTGTATTTTTATCTTTGTAGGGAAGCACCAAAGCAAAGGAGAAAAGCTAGCAAGGGGAAGGAGGAAAAAGAGAAACAGAAAGAGATTAAAGTAGAAGTGAAAGAAGAGAGTGAATTTCAGGAAGATGAAGAACCACCGAGGAAGTAAGTAAAACTCTGCAGTTATACGTAGCAGTGTGTGTTGTATATTTTGCATTCTTGCTAGTGTACAACAGTGTTTTGTTATTGTTGGCTTCCCCCCTCCTCCTCTGGGCCTGAAAGATAATAGGGCAGAACCTTTTGTTCTGATAGAAGTCCTGCTTCCTAGTATCTTGTGCACATTCAGCAAGCAGAAATAAAAGAGTTGGTATTTTCATTTAAAGTTGAGGGGTTTTTCTCCATGCTGTGGTTTAGTCAGCCTACCTGGATATGGTCATACAGCATGAAATACTTCAGAGTATTCTTGAAATTGGTTTCTGTTGTGATGTCTGAAGTAGATTAGACTGTATTGGAAAGATAGTCTGAGAAGGCAACATTTCTTCTGTTGTGTGCCTAGAGGCAGACACGGTAGTACTTTTTATGTGTTGTGTGGTAAGTGACGACTTTGTACATTTGGGACTAACATAGGAAAGCTCAGGAAAAACAGCTGTGTTCTCCCTCGTTTTGGAGAAATAAAAAACCAAACTTTTGCTACCTAGTCAGCCACTAACGCTTTGAGTGGAGACTCGAAACCTTTGTGTATGCTGTCACTGGAACTCAACACTGAAGCTTTCCTTCTGGCAACTGAGGTAGATTGAATTTATGTGCCTGTGTCAAAGCCATTCTTTGGGATAATGTGAGGTAAAAAAAAAAAAGCAGGTTTTGCACTTTAGCTCCTCTTTGAGCAATTAGAACAAATGGGGCTCCCTCTGCTGGTCTGCAGCGTGGGGCTCTGCACACCTTTGTTTTAATTTCTCTTGCTGTTTCTAAGCTGCTGCAGAGCTCATTTATACTGGAGAGGAGTAAGGATGCTGATGTTTTGAGAACTTCTGGTTTTTTTCTGCTCGAGGTAGCATTCTGAGGCTTGTGGTTGTGTTATTTAGATCAGACCCTACTTTTGTGCATAATAAAACCTGTGCCTTTTCTGAAGGCTTGGCTTGAATGCTGAGTGCCTGTTAAGCATGTTAACTGGTGTGGTCTTGTTAACAATAAAGGTGTCTCAGTACAGTCTAGAAAAGACTTCCATCAATCTACTGTGAGTATCTCTCTGCAGTAATATGATCAAGCAGGCACGATGTTCTGGGCAGAGCTATTGCTTGGAAGGGTGCATTTTACATGTAAGCATAGGTCTGCTCTGATGGAGCATAGATTTTTGTCTTGACAAGTGTATAATCTGCTATAGTTAATTCAGGGGACTGTAAAATAGCTGCTAGATCATTAATCCTGTTCTTTCTAGTCGTGCAGATTGATGTTTTTCACGTAGTATGAAACATTACCCAACAGAGTAGAGGAAATAGGGTGCACCATCAATTCTGGACTGTGTTGGCAAAATTACATGTTTATAAAAAATGCATTAGGAAATGGGAGGGGTTGTGAGAGCAAACCACATGAAGCATTTATTTCTCAAGAATGTTGCCTCCCTCTCAATCTGCTTCCAACTTGTACTTGATTGATTTTTCTAGAGCTTGCAGTTAATGACGCAATAGCTTGCTAACTGTCTGCAGCAGAAACTTCCAAGAGCAGAATCTTGTGTGCTGACGTGCGGCCTGGAAAGGGATGAATTTAATTATAAGGTCGTGAGTTGTTTGGACAGTTACAGGTTTAAAAGCAAAAATATGAAGCATGCGATTGCCTGGTTGAGGGCTTTCTGAAATAGCCCTTCCTCACTCCATTATGGCAGAAGAGTTGGTAATTTCTAACCGCAGCCTGCTGGGCTGTGGCTATCTGATACCTGTTTACTGGTATCTGCATAGCTGTGAATGGTGGGCTGAGACACATTTGAGCCAGGCAGGCTTAAAAATGTGTTGTATGCTAGACCTAGCAGGTAGTCATGCAGCTGCAGCCTGACTATGTTGGCAGAGGCAGGGTGATTTGAGGCCTACCACATGCCACCAAATGTCATGCAGAAAAAAGTGTCAGCCAGGTATCAGAAACAGGGGGACCACAGCTCCACAGGGAGCAGTCTTCTGTGTGATGTGGCAGTTCTGCAAAATGCAGGGACAATTTGCATGGAGGCCTGGCTACTTAACTTCTTTAGGGAACCTGCCCATCTATTACAAGAGTGTTTCCTTATAAACTCTTCAGGTGTTTTGACGCAGAGCAGGTGGCTGACTTGCCAGAGCAGCTGACTTATCGGGTGCAGTGTTACTTTTCAGCTTAAAAGTGTGGAAGAGTTCTGTAGTATTTCTTACAGCATGCTCCTGCTTTGTAGCATACACTTCAAAAACTCTGCCCACTACCAATGTAAAGAAGCTTCTTTCAATTCTGTTTCTGTAACCCTGTCACAGGAGGGGAAGGAGGAGAAAGGATGACAAGAGCCCAAGGCTGCCCAAGAGAAGGTAAGTGATCCCCCCTACTTAGTTCCGTTCTGAAGACTTGCTTCCCTTGTGTCCTACACAGAGATGTTGATTGTCTCAAAGTCGTCTCTATTGCACAGTATAGAAATCTGCCTTAAAGGGGGGGGGGGGTGGGGGGGGAAGGAAATAGCAGCATGCCTTGTCTTCCCTCCTTTCCTTCCCCTTTCTTCCTGTAGATACGGGTTTGATTTCTTCCAACTGAACCAGCCCCCTCCCCACTTCTGAGTTGATCCCTAGCCTGGCATTGCCCAGTGATAAGGTTCTGGGAACTCTGTGTCTCCTGGGGTTTTCTCAGCTCTGGGGAGAGCCCTTAAGTAGTGCTAGGAGTGGAGGGAACTCTTGGACAGAGTCTCTATCAGCATAGCCCAAACAGGAATATTGGAGTAGTAATCCTTTGCTCTCACATCACTGAGCTGCACTCGCACTCATTCATCTTGCTGCTGCCCTGGCTTCAGATGCATCAGCTAACCATTCTGCCATTTACTTACTGACTTCTTAGGAAGAAGCCTCCAATACAGTATGTCCGCTGCGAGATGGAAGGCTGTGGCACAGTCTTGGCTCACCCGCGTTACCTGCAGGTTGGTTGAGATTTTTCACTTCCTGAATGGCATGTGTGAGGGCAGGGAAAAGCCATTTAGAACAGGCAGCTAGTCCTCCACTGGCATGGAAGCACTCCTTCCTAATGTTGTCTTTTTGATAGACTTAATCTATTGTGGCCACGTGGGTCTCTGTATCTGTCCTGTTCCTAGATGTCCACATTTGTTTGGCTTTCTTCTCTCGATGGAGATGAAAGTCTTTGTGTTCGTGGTATCTTGTCACAGATTGCAGTCTGGTGGCCTGCTGAGGGGCCATCTGAGATTGATGTGTCTCAGCTATTCTCTCAGCCATGTAAAGAAAGAGTCTACAACCTTTCACTCTTCCTTTATAGCATCACATAAAGTACCAGCACTTGCTGAAGAAAAAATATGTGTGTCCTCATCCCTCCTGTGGTCGGCTCTTCCGACTTCAGAAGCAGCTCCTGCGGCATGCCAAACACCACACAGGTACAGACAGGGAGGTGGGAAATAGATACAAACTCCTCCTCAGGTCAGTGAACAGAAAGGGGAAAAAAAAAAAAGGAAAAGCCTCTAGGACTTTTGGGGAGAGTAAAGCCAAGGCAGGTGGCATAGATTTGCAGCAGCAGCAGGGTATTGTTTCCTTCTGGATTACCATCTTTTAAGGAAATGAAAGAAATAGGCTATGGAGTTTTTAATTCACCCCCTGGCAAGTGTCACTCAAGGGTTCTGTAGAGGGATAAACCCAGCAAAGTTTTATCCTAATTTGCCAGTCCTTCAGTATTGGTCAGAATGGATAATTAGCTCTTAGGAGAGTCTTAATCATGCCTTAACTCTCCAGATCAGCTGCTGTGGTGTATTGTGGGACACCTCCTCCTTTGGTATGCCTGCTGGCCTCCCAGCACTTCTAGTTCTACTGCTTCTTGGGTAGCTTTACCTGCAACATGTGAGAGCTGGGATAGGGAGCAGGTCTGCCAGAGAGTAATGCTCCAACTGGTGTTGCTTTTTAGATCAAAGGGATTACATCTGTGAGTACTGTGCCCGGGCGTTTAAGAGTTCTCATAACTTGGCTGTGCACCGAATGATCCATACAGGCGAGAAGCCCTTGCAGTGAGTACCTCTGCCTGTCTTGTTCTCCTGCTTTGAGGGACCCTTGGATACACCCATTCTTGGACTGCACCAAGAGCAGGGGCAGCTCTGAAGTCAGGGCTGGAACCTGTTCCTGGTGTCCCAGCTCTCTTTAAACACACACCTGTAGGAGTGTTTGAGCTGCCACCTGTCTTGCCTGTCTCACTGCTTTGAGGCAGCGTCTCAGTAAAGATCTGAGGAACATAAACCCTCTGCAAATAAAACTGGAAGAGCTGGAGCTATGGTGACATCCCATTTTAGTGAGCCCCTGCTGTTTTCCTGGGCTGCCTCTTTGGTACTGCTGTCCCCACAAGTGTGTGGGGATGTCCCTTGGTTGTGACCTTCTTCTCCTCCCCTCCCAGGTGTGAGATCTGTGGATTCACTTGCCGGCAGAAGGCTTCCCTCAACTGGCACATGAAGAAGCATGATGCAGACTCCTTCTACCAGTTCTCCTGCAACATTTGCGGCAAGAAATTTGAGAAGAAGGACAGCGTCGTGGCCCACAAAGCCAAGAGCCACCCTGAAGTGCTTATTGCTGAAGCACTGGCTGCCAATGCGGGTGCCCTCATCACCAGCACCGACATCCTGGGCACTAATCCCGAGGCCATTGCGCCGCCCACCGATGGCCAGGGCCTCCCCCTTCTTCCCGACCCGCTGGGAAGCACTGCCCCAGCAGATTGCCTGCTGCTGAACCCTGACGGAATGCCGAAGACCTACTGTGGTGGAGCAGAGCGCGTGAGCCTGGTGGCTGATGGCAAGCTCTTTGTGGGGAGTGGCAGCAGTACAAACCCGGAGGGGCTGGTCATGAACACAGAGATCCTGGGAGCCACTACGGAGGTGCTCATCGAAGATTCAGACTCCGCTGGACCCTAGTGGGCGGGGAGCACTTGGGTGCTGGGACAGTTTGGGCTCTGTATTTAAGAGGAGGAGGAAAAAAAAAGAGCTTACTGAAAGAGAGAAAAGTTAAACAAAACTTACAATACTAGTAAATAACCGAAGGGTCTGCTCCCCTCCAGCGTGGATCACAGCACATCCTCTTTCTCCCAACCACTTCTCTCTCTCCCACTGCTCCTTTGTAGAAAGGGGCACATGGTGCCATTACCAGAGCAAGTTGGATTGAGCGATGGATTTCCCCAAGGGAGGGGGGACTGCTGAAACCCTTCGCTCTACCCCAAAGCAGATGCCTTTCTGGCTCCTTGATGTGGCCCCGCTTGCAAAACTAGAAAGCATTTGATGTGCTCTGGACAAGTTTCTTAGGACTCCCTCTCGCCCCTGGTCCCAACTTCTATGCATCGCTGCACTCTGGTCCTTGCAGTCTCATTCTTCCTCACGGGGCTGGGAGTTTGGCTTGGCACTTTAGGCCCCCTCAGCAGGGTGAGCTGTGAAACAGTGCATATCCCTCTCCCCACGGTGCTCCTCTGCTCCAGCTCTGACAGGAAGTTGAGGGAACGCCCTGGCTCATAGATCATGTTTGCTTGGAGAGGCCCGGGGGCTACGGGAGCCCTGCGTGGGAGAGGCAAGGAGGAGCATCCCAGTTTGACGACAGTAATTTGCACTTTGAACATGCTTCGTTTTTGTGTTGTGGTAACAAGATTCCTTATTTATTGATTAAAAAAGGGTCGGTATTTTTTAGTTATGTTCTTAGGGGGTTGGGGTGGAAGGGGTTCAGGCTATTTCCCAGTAGACCTCTTCACACTAACGAGCTGCAAGGGAGCACATCGTGCTATTGTAACAGCAGATGGGAGAGCTGAGGTGAAGGCAGCGTTCTGGAGTCAGATGTCTTTTGCAGCTTTTCCAGAGTAGAGGGAGAGCCCCTGGAGAAGAGCCTGTTTGCAGTGGGAGTGTCTGCAGCAGCGTTTTAGCAGGAGGATGAGGTGAGTGATGGAGCAGCTGGCTGTTGTCTCCCTCCCTCCAAGGTTGGGGTGAGCTCCTTGCATTAAATACTCTTTTTGCCTCCCCCTTGCTCCCTAGCCTTTCAGGGAAGAACATCATTAGCCAGAAATTTGTTCTCGTGACGTAGGACAGTTGTGAGCTGCTTGCTGCTGGGGGATGTTGTGCTCCTCATCCAATTCTGCCTCTCCTTTCCAGGTCTAGAAAAAAATGCAGAAGTAGGGACTGGATATGGTTGTCTTGGGCTTGTTTATTCAAGGCAATAGACTGATGTGGGACTAAGGGGGTGTCAGCTTTTCTCCCTGCCCCCATTTTGGGGGGAGGGTGTTGTGCAGCTGTGTTTTCAAAGCTTCTCTCTTCTGTGCAAACACCCCTGCTTTCCATGAAATGTGGCGGTTCAAGTGTTGCCTGCCGGTGTAGTTAGGACAGCTCTGAGCCCTTGGAAAAGTTGACACAGGATATGATGTGTCTGCTACAGAAACTTGGATCTTTTTGCTCTTATCTGAAACTGTGTGGAGGTTCAGTGGCCTTGAATTCTTAGTGGTTTTGGAAGAGGTAAAGAATAACCTGGACTTTTTGTTTGGTTGGTTGTTTTTTCAGTTGGGTTTATGTGGCTGGGAGCAGAGCTAAAGTATCTTGTCCGAGCACAAGATCAGGGTCTGTAGCACACAGCAGCTAGGCAAAATCGGGCTACTTGGGTTCTGGAGAATGGCAATAAAACATGGAATTTAATTGGAAACTTTTTACAGGAAACTGACTCTGAACACCCACTGTGTCCCTCGTGCAGCCTGGAAATCCAGCTGTGGCCAAAGCCTGACAGCTTTTATTGGGCCACTTGTCCTGATTTGCCCCCTCCCTTCCACCCCTTACAGTGATATCTTTGTCAGAGCAAGTTGAAACACTTCTGGTGTTGGGACGGTTTGTGGCTGAACAGTTTGCAACCCTGGTGTCTTATGCCCTGGGTGTGGGCATCTCATGTTCTTGCAGCAGCATGGCTCCCATGCCTGCAGGAGATGCGTCAGGCCACGAGCCTTTCCTGGAGATAAGGATGAGAGCCCAGCATACCTGAATGCGGGTCTCGCGGAACAGTGCATGTCAGGTCCATGGTGGTACGGCATTAAACTAAACCAGTTTCTTCAGTTGGGATGATCCAATTTCTTGCTTGGATCAAACTATTGTGATTTCCAGCAGGAAGCTTTCGGGTGGCCAGCTGGTCCCCTTCCCTTGCAAACTAAAGAGAAGCAGCACAATGAGATGTGTTCAAACCCAACTCCGATGGCTTCACCCCCCAGCACTGTGGGTCTTCTGTCTGGGGAGACTTGGGGCTGGCTGAGCCATGTTGTTTGGTGGCATGTCTCCTGGCCTGGATCCTGGCCACGGGTAGCTGATGTGTCATGTGGTGCAGGTCAGCCATGTCATCCCCACGCTTGCTGCAGACCATCCTGCTGGTGCTGCTTTTTGTGCCCTGCCCTGTGCCCCGTGGGAGGTGCAGAGCAGGCAGAGCCTTGCACAGAACACTAAACGGAGAGCTCGGGGTTTTGTTTTCTGAGGGATGGTACTAAAATGCTTTTGGGTCAAGGGCTTGCTCACCTCTGGTGATGCAATGCTTGGCACCTGGCTGGGAGGCAAGGGAGGCTGCCTGGTCCTGTGTCTCCCCCAACTGCCCCAAGTGGGGCAAAGAGTTAGCCATCGGCCTCGTTTCTGGGACGCAGAATCAAGCAGCTCATTTGCTTCCTGACCTGGACACCTCTGATCCCTGCCACTCCCTGCCTTGTCCTTCCATGCACACCTCTTGTAGCTCTCCTTTTTCTTTTTCTGGTCTCGGCCAGTTGCCTGTCTGTTCTCTAACCACAGCCTGCTAACCCTGATGCAGGAGAGACTGGTGTAGCACCTCCCTTCCCACTCCCCTTTGAAACCTGAAAACTGACACAGCCCTTCTGCAGCTCCTCCTCACCTCTATGTCTCTCCTTCACTCGCATGCAGTTTGCTTCAATAAATTATTGTAGTAGTTTGCAATAAACTTTTTTGTATTTTTTTTCCCCTGTATTTATTTTTTTTTTTTTTTTTTTTTTGTCCTCCTGGGGAGGGAACGGAGGGGACACGGGGCCCTTTGCCTGCTCTCAACGCCCCAGAGAGCTTGTGGGTGCTGTGCCTGGTGTGGGCAGTGGCATGGAGGCAGGGGCCCTGGGGTGCACAGGGTTTGGGCCGGGGGCTGTGCCAGCTGGAGCTGGGGGGCTCCCGCAGCTCAGCAGTGCTTTCTGCAGTAGCCACCAGGTGGCAACGACACTGTTGGGTTGGCCGCTGGCCCTGGGAGGTTGGGCTGGGGGGCTGGGGCAGTTTCCCAGCTAAGCTGGGGCAAGGCTCAGTGTACTGTGATACTGAAGGGAAACTGCTTTTCAACTCCTGTTTCTTCTCTTAATCTGGGTAATACATAACCAAAATAAACGTACTGAGGAAAAACCAAACCAACCAAAAGGGCTGTTTTTGTCTTGGTGCATGCAGCTCACCTGTGGTGGGTGGCCAGTGTTGCCCTGGGGTGGCTGGGACCTCCTCCCCTGTCTGCAGCCCCCCTTTGGGGCAGGACTCCTGGGAAAGGGGAGTTAGGCCTGGGGCACCCAGTCCCATGCAGTCATGGGGGGAATAAGAGGGCTGGAGGCAGCCAGGACAGGCCCCTGCAGCCTTCTGTCGGCATTTGGGTTGCAGCCCAGCCTGCAGCCAGTGCTGGATCTCCAGCCTGGGGGCTCCCCTCAATCCCTTGCTGGCAAACCTGCAGCGCTCTGCCCTGCTCAGGCCCCAGCGTGCTGCCCAGGCTGAGGTGTTGAGCAATGTCTGGGCTTTGCTTGCCTCTTCCCGGCAGTGGTTTCCCACACTCTGGCATGAGCCAGGGGGATTAGCATGCTGCTAATCTCACTGTGTGGCTGGGAGGGAGGAATGGGTCAGAGCTGGGGCTGGGTGCCTGTTGCTGCCAGGCAAGACCATTCTGGGCAAGGCGCTTGGATAGTGATGCACAGGGGAATTAGAGAAATAATCTGTTGCTGTTGATCCCAGAGGCGGGAATTTGCAGCGTCGTGCCAGGCCCCAGGCGTGGAAGAGGGGGAGAGCCAGGCCAGCGGACGTGTGAGCAGAGCTCCCGGCTGGAATGCACCAGCTCAGCAAGGGATTGTCCTCACTGGGCCAGGCAGGCGCTGTGCCGTGAGCCTGGTGCCTGTGACAGCTGCCCAGGCCATGGCGGCAGCAGACAGCTCCTCAGTCGCCCTCCGGCGCCGCGACCTGTGCAGCCGAGGCATCCGCCTGGCTGGGAAGATGCGCTCGGATGTCATCAACCTCCTGGACACCTACGTAAGTTTGCCCTGCTCCTTACGGCTGCCTGTGGGGCTGGGAGCACCGATGGGGTGGCCACCACTACTGGGTGGGGTCCAGGGGGCTCCTGGCAGCTGTGCTGGGGCACAAGGGATCTGGCCCATGGTAGAGATGGGAGATGAAATGCTGCCGGTATCTGGGCCTTGGTGTGCTGCTGGCTAATGCTTGGGCAAACCTCAAGCACCTGGCCTTGCACTGCCCCGAACGCCTCTTGGCCAGCGCTGAAGCTGAATCGGGGCCCCCTGGAGGCCATGCTGGTGGGGGTTCCCCTGTTTCTGCTGCCACTGCTGATCCCCAGCTGCTGTCACCATTGCAGGTGGAGCAGCAGGGCTTGGATGCCTCAGCCAGCATGGCGGTGGTGGAGGGGGTGCCGATGGCAGCAGTGGAGCACTGGGACGAGCAGACGGGGACCCAGCGGCTGCTGGAGAACCTGGCGGCGTACCGGGCCTTCCGGGCCCTGCTGGCCCAGATGCTGGAGGAGCAGCGGGAGCAGCTGGGTGAGGCTGATGCTGCCCTGGGCCGGGCACTGGCAGCCGTCCTGCTCCAGGTCTCAGCCTTTGCCTACCACCTTGAGGAGCTGCTGCGGCTGGAGAGCCGTGGGCCCCCCAGTGAGGAGGGAGCTGGCCCCCCCCCCCCCTCCCACCTCGGCCTCTTCGAGAGGAAGCTGTGGGGCCTGGGGGTGCTGCGGGAGCTGGCCCAGTGGGCCGTCAGGTCTGCACGGGACTTGCGGCAGCTTACTAAGCCCAGCCTGGGCAGCAGCTTGGCCCCCAGCCCAGCTGAGAGCCCTTGAAGGCAGGCACAGGGTGGGGGGCTTGGCCCCTGCTGGGGCATAGCAGGGGGCTCCTTGCCCACCCCTGCAGAGGGCTGCTGACAGCAAAGGGGGTTGTTCATGGAGGGGGGCGGACAGGACAGACCATGTCATTAACCCCTGGGTCCCCCATGCTTTTGGTGGCACCACTCCCTGTGGGCCCCTTTCCCTGTGGGAAAACTGAGGCACGGGCCGCACTCCGCCCTGGAGGGAGCGGGGATCCCCAGGCAGGGCAAGCCTCAGGGGTGGCTCAGGCTCTGCCTGCTGAGGGGTTGGAATTATCCCCCAGGAAGCAGCTTTGCCGCTCACCCTGGGGCCCAGAGGCTGTGACCCTTAGCAAGCTGCAGTGGTGCTGGGCTTTTCTTTGAAATTAGGTTACTGCCTGGCTTGCCATGGCCAGGTGCCACCTCTGGCGGATAGAAGCTGTCTCAGGACTCTCGCGGAGGCAAGGCAGGAGCAAAGGGACAGAAAACTATGGCCTGGCAAAAGGAGTCTTGGGACCTGCCTCCCAGCTGCAAGATGCAAGGCTTTGCCGCCTTCACGTGGATGCTTTTCTCCCACCCGGCTTGCGTTTTCTGCGCATTGAATTTGTGCTCTAACTGCTTGAGGGCTTTTTCAGGACGGGGCGGGGGGGAGTGTGGGGGTGTGATCAGGATGGGATTTCTTAACCACTTGGACAAGGTAACGGAGAGGATCTTTTAACTGAAGGCTGTGATTCAGAAGACCCTCCATAAGGAGGTTTTTGCCTCCAGGGGTTATTTTGGGACTGGAAACGGCACGGAGGATTAAACAGCCCCAACCACATCGCTCACTGTGTGAAGGGGAATGCCACAAGGTTTCACAGCTCCCCGGGCTGTGGTTTTCTTGCTGAGTGGATGTGATGGCTGATGGCTGCCAAGTGAATAAAAGGGCTGAGAGATCTACCGGGATGATGTGACTTCTTGGGGGAGGTGGGACAGTGGGGGTCAACCTCACTGGAGAGCCTGGGCTATCCCGTTCTTACCCCAGGGAAGGGTCAGTCCCAGTGGCGTGGGAGGTTTGGGGGGGGATGGGACCTGCTGGGAGGCCATGGGGAAGACGAAGGAACTGGGGTTGGAGATGGAGGTGGCGGGAGGATGAGGAGGAGGTGGGGGGGTGTCGCTGAGGTTGTGCCCTGTCCTGGTGTGGCCCTGCCTTCCTCCCTGACCTGTGAGAGGGAAAGCAACACTTGGGGGCACGGGATGGGGAGGAGGCTGGGGATGTGCCCGGCTGGCCCTGCACAAAGCAGCTTTGTCCTGGTGGGTGGTGGTGGCACCGGGCACAGCGCCTGCCCCAGCACCAGCAGCATCTGCACAGGCATGTGGGGGTCTGGGTGCTACGGGAGGACAAAGGGCTGCACAGAGGCAGGGTCCCCTGCGCCCATCCTGCCCACCCACCCGGGCACATTGGGGCAAGCGGGTCCGCAGGGGCTGGAGCTGCCCCACAGGGATGAGGCGAGGGTGGCTTTGTTGTGCCAGTTTTTTTTTTTTTTTTGTGAGTGACGCCCAGGAGGAAGAATGTGCACCTTTTTCATCACCATTTACTGCCTGACCTCAGCTTTGCAGCTCAGACTGGATTATTTGCAATGTTTCTGCTTCCCTCCACTTCAGAATAACAATTTCTGGCCTTTATTTTTTTCAGGATTAGTCAAAGTGAGTCCCTTTCCCAGCAAGTACTTTTCTCTCCCAGTCTTGTCTGCTTTGTGCACTCTGAGCCATCTTGGTTTTCTCCCCTTGCGCCCTCATGCTCAGCAGTGGCCAGGTGCTCGCATCCTGGCCCATCTGCTGCCACTCACCTTCCCGAAGGTGGGTACATACATCTCAGACACCGCACGTCCGTCTCTGAACCTCACAACACAAGCAGGCAGGAACAGACCCCTTTTCTCCCACCACAGTAGCCTAGATGTGAGGTGACCTTCACATCCCTGGGGAGCCAGCCACAGCCCTGGCATGGGTCCGTGCAACTCGATCCTTCCAGATTAGCTGTTGGTGGTGCTGCAAGTTGAGCTCGGCCAGCAGCAATTGCACTTGGGAGTTGAAGCAGCAATGGGGATTGAAGGTGGACAATGATGTTGCTCCAGGGGCTTCCTTGGGCTGTGCCCAGCAGCGTGAATTGCCACTTTTGCAACCTTCCTTTTTCCTTCCTTGCTACCTTGCCAGCAGTGCTGGGTGCATCTGTGTTTGCAAAGCACCCGTGATGCTTTGAAATGGCCACTGTAACGAGAAACAATGTAAAAAACCAAACCCTAATCCAAACCTCCATGGTCTGGCTGAGCAAGAGGTTCCAGGTCTCCAGCTTTCCCTGCCAGCAAGCCCCCACCGTGCAGTAGAGAGGTGGTGACGTCTGAGCCTGCTGGGTTTTAATGCTATTTTTCAGCTGCAACCCCAAAGGGAATCACTAGTAAACTGATTTGGCAAGGACAGGGGCATCCAACAGCCAAGCTCTCTTGCTGCTAGGAGGCCCTTTGGACTTGCATTGCCGTAGGCTGAAGTTAAGTTCATGGGGGTGACTGAAGCTGTTGATTCTGGAGACAGAAATGAAGAGCTTGAGTGGAGTGATACAAGATATTTTTTTCTGAACACAATGGTCTTGCTATTTCTTTACCCAATTATTTGCTGACTGATAGTAGATAAGAGTTCTGTACGCTGCACAATGTATAAGACACCAAAGAAAAAACTGCTTTCAGATGGCCTTCCAGTGTCTGGAGAACTGCGTCGTTAATGTAGACATAGATAATAGAGGCACTAACGAGCATTCTTTAGGATAAGATGTATCAAAACATGTAGAAGATCACACCACTCGGAATCAGCCGAGAAGGGTCAGACAGTGGACAAGTGAGGAAGACTACGGAAGACCACCAGAGACCTGGAATATGCCTGCGTGAGGGACATTTGCATATGATAATGGGTTAATTAATAGGCAAAACTTTTATCAGAAATCTAATTAATATGTATATAGAACCTGTATATAAACTATGCAATTAAACTGATCAGGCACACACAATAGGAGGAGAAATCCCCTGTGTGCCCAGCACTGCAATAAAGGATACCTGCTTAATAGTCTTCTGACTACTGAGTCCTGATTTTGGCTTTTCATGGCATCAGGAGGACAGTCGTGCCCACATGGCTAATGCCGCTGAGGACCCTGAATGGCCTCCTGCAAACTAAAAACCCACCAAAAGCTGTCCGAGATTGTGCTTTGGGGAGAGAAAAAGGATTTGCAGTGCTGGTCGTAATGGGGAAGGGGGAGGTGAGCTGCGCTCCCAAGTTTTAGCGGGGAAGGAGCCACCAAAACCAACCCATGGGTGTGTTTAATTTCAAAAAAATAAATGTTTGGGCTTAACGCATGGTTGGGTTGGGCACACTTTGTGGGGTTGGAAAGGTTTTAAGCTGACCAAGGCTGCTCCCTGACCTCAGGCATGTCTGTATGGGGGTGCTGGCATCAGCGCTGGGTGCTGGGAGAGAATAAATTCACCCCTTGCCCACCATGCACCAGAGGCAGGTGGGGATCATCTGTGCCAGTCCCAGCGGCTCACCTATCCCCTTGCACCATCCCGCACCAGCATTGCAGCACTGGCTCCTGACTTTTTGATCCTGAGCCAGGGTTGGGGGGGAATGTTCACCAATGCTTTCCTTTTTAATAGCAGGAAAACCTTTTCCTCCTGCCTGAGTCAACGGAAAAGATTTCCCCGGGCTTCCCTGTCATGGCCTTGGCTGCACTCATCTGCCCCAAAGGAGCAGGTGAAAACCCAGAGGAGCAGCTCTCTGCTGCCACGCTGCCTTCCTGGGCAGGGCCAGGAGCCCTCCCTTCTTGCAGGAAAACGCACTTCGAGCATGGCCCTGTGTGTCTCCAAGGGTAAGCTGGAAGAAGGGGAGATTTGCTTGAACTTCTGCAGTTCACCTGCTCCTCTCACCATGGCACTCGCCAGCTGGCATCACTGCAGCTAGTCCCCACCTGTTTCACCCCCCCCCCCTTTTTTTTTCCTCTATTCAGATCTTGCCTAATGGTTTCTCACTGCGGACGCTCAGCAGGCTGGGCAGTGCCTGGGAAACTGATTTGTCCGGAGAGGAGCTGCAATGGCCGCCGGGAGCTTGGCAACATCCTGCAGCAGCACCAGGGGTCCCGTGTCCTGGGGATGAGTCGCCTTCCGAGCTGGCATGGACCATGGGCCAGGGGATTTGCTGGTGCTGGGAAACCCGTGCGTGTGGGACACGAATGCGATTTGTATAGTTCTCCCCAAACCACGCAATGATGGGTATTTTGTTTAATATCAAAGAAAAATCAATGTACTGTGTTTGTCGCCAACATCCTGTAGTTCAGGGCTGCCCTGGGATGCTGCTCGTGAGGCTCAGTGGAAGAACAAGCTCAGGATGAACTTTTTTTTGGGCTGCGAGGAAGGGCCAGCACCAGCTGCTCCGGTCCCAGGGAGTCACCATAAAGCAGAGGGGCCCCTGTTGCACTGCCAGCAGGAGCACATGGGTTTTGGTTGTACTGGTTTCAGTTTGCACAGCAAAGCCACTGGGCCACCAAGGCATGCATAAGTCGGAGGAGCATCCTGAAGGATTTGCAGCCTCATGCCGGTCTGAAGCTGTATGAAATCTCCCCAGAAAGCACTTCTCAGGGAAACTAAACTGTGGCAGGCAGCTGGGGGAACTGGGGTACGGGAGCTGGGGTTATAGCCCAGGTGCCCCTCGAGGCACGCGGCAATTTTGGGCTCTGAACCCGTTTTTGTGTGTCACAGGCCATGGCCAGGGGCAGCTCACCAGGCCGCTCCCCGCAGGCACTGCAGCCCGGGAAAGGGGATGGTCGAACCTCTCGGACCACGTTTCTGCGGGGTCTGGCCCTGACGCCCTGCCTTGGGTCGGGCATGCGACCCCCCCAGCACCCTGATTCCCATTGCTGGTGGGCTTGGGGCCAGGGTGGCGCACAGGGATGGGCGCACACCAGGATGTCCCTGCAGTGCCTGGGCTGCAGTCTCGGTTAGGGGCGTGGGGAGCACTGGTGGTCCTTGGGTGCAGGGTGGCGGTACAGGGACACTGGTGTCTCAGGGCTCCAGGGTACGGGG